CATCCGCCATTTGATCCCAAGGCTGCAACAGCTGCAGCAGCTAAAGTTACTGGTGGAATCCGCCATGCCGTCAGCAGGCCACTGCCTTTGCAGGGTTCATCCGGCACCTTAGGGCTTCGAGTCAGCCAAACCAGTTTACACTGCTGTTTCTATCCAGTGTCCCCAGCGTATGGGCATCCTGGCTGATCTTGTCAACACTTGTTGGAGTGAAGGCGGGATTGATACAGACTGAACAAGCTGGATGCGCATCACCACAAAAAGTAGGATTCAAGGGGAGACACGTCATATAACAAAATCTTGCTAAAACTTCAGCAGCGCGTGCCTCATGTCATGCAGGCTGTAACGGCTTTGCGAGGACGCGTGTACCCGGGGATTTCCATTCCAGGGCCATTGCAGAAACAGCAAGAACGGAATCGCCCAGTCAAACATGAAAACATAAACCCACAATCTAAATCTTCCGCTGGCTGTCTCCGCATGCTTCTCATTATATTTTCTAACAATTGGCAATACCTCTTCTCCAACAAATGAATAGCCTTGTAATTCCATACGCTTTCATACATCTACAGAGGCCCGACGCAACCGGCACCGTTGCATGCATGGAGCTTGAATGCTGCCCTGTTATATACATGCAAGTGCTCTCCATAGAGACACCCAAAATTTAGCATCCAGTCATCTGTCGCAGACATCAAGGCCTCCCCCAAGGCCTTATAACCAGCACTCAATCCCATGGAAAAGTTCCTCAAAGGTATCCCCTCATATCTCTCCCAGGAAGGCTGTCAATTCAAGATAAGCATGCTTATGCAACTCTTGCCACTGTTTATGCAGATCCGTATGCACGGTACGGCTATTCTAACATAGCTCTTCCATCTGAATGCTCTCCATGAAACCCACTAAGTGAGCTGCAGGTGCCTCAGCAAAATATGTGGGTGAGGTTCTTCTCATCATATACCACGGAAATCATCGTGCATTGCTATACATCTTTTTCTAGAGTTCTAAGCTAAAAAGAAACGCACAAAATTGGGGCCTGTAGTGCGACGTTTTCTGTACAAAATAAATTCGAATGGCCTCACCATTAACCCAGCCAAAAACCTTTACATTATTGAGACCCTCCCCAAATCTTCAATTAAGGAGGATCGCGGGTTCTGCTGGACTACCCCCTCTGGAATTTGATTGCTTAGCCTATTCGAATATGCGGTTTAATGATATTTGGAATGTTTTGGTGGCATCAGATTCCAGATTCGATAGGTAATAGAGCCTGTCCTTTTCATGTAAACGCGTGGCTTTAACACCAAAGCATGTTGGCCTCGTCGAAACCTTTCCCATAATTTTTCCGGCAGAAAAAACATATTTTGTTGGGACCCCCCCAAATCAAATAGGCGGTCCAAGCAATGTATTTCGCATGCGCCGAATGCCAAAAGCGTACCTGCCTCTCCACCATTGAAGTTGGGTAACCCATCGCAGCGCTGGGCTTGCCGCGCAGCTCCCAACGCGCTCTGCCAGAGTAACACTCCAAACAGTGGCAGTGAAGTACGTGCCGAAAATGCAGGTACTGCATTTTGCTGTCTTGGATGCTTTCAGAAAGGCGTTTGACCGCAGCCCCGCGGCAAAACTCATAATTTGACGAACAACCCAAAAACAAGAGCACATGAGGATGCCTTCGCCAAGATGAGATTCTCTCTGCGAGAAGCTGTAGAGTTTCATTTGAAGAGCTGCGAGTCTTGGCCCAGAAGCCATGAAAGCAACGCGACTTGCTCTCGGCTGATGTCTCCTGCGTGGGTCCGCATGACGCAGAAGAAACACTTGTATCGTCAAACCGTGATGAGATGTGCCCTCGGCTGGGAATTTTTGTTGGCAACATGTTAGGTATTCCACCCATTTTCTGGACTCCGGGAGGACCTGACATGCACAGATTGCTGCCTCAGGCCTCCAGATGCCGCAGGCAGCATCGCAAGACGCCAACCTTCAGGCTGCGGGTGGTCTGGAAAACTAATAGGTGTCATCATATCTTGACTCTTGACCCCTCTGCAAAATCTTGAGAGCCAAGTGGCTCCGGTAGCTTAGGGCAAGCAGCAGCTTGAGAGTTGGAATGAACTTGGTGGCCATTCTAGCTTCGGAGGTGCAAACACTGCAGGAAGTTGAAGCTTTCGTCCCGAGTCAGAGAAGTCGCCCAGCAGGTAAAATGCATTCCCAAAGCTTTCATCCGATCAGTTTGCTGGAGAATGTGTGTTGTAGAATTTTGTGAGGTGATCTAAAGTCTGCGCATGTAAAACTTGGCATGGCAATCTCTTTTCCAGAGCTGCTCAATTTCTCTATTGTTTTTCAAGCGGCCCACAGGCCACCAGAGTCTTGAAGCTGTTCGTTACTTTGCTGAAAGGCTACCTCGCAACCTTTTTCCTGTCGCTTCAGGCAAATGTGGCAGCTTTGTCACGAAATGTGGCCACACTGTCAGAGCAGCTCATGCGCTTGGAGCAGCAGATGAATCCGCCTCGCCGGCAAGCTTGGAGCTGTCCTGCTCTTCAACTTTACATGTTTCTTACAGCTCTTGCAGTGCTGGGCCGCCCAAAGCGCCTAGTTGCCAAGCTAATCCGAGATAGCAGAAAGAAGAGCGCTAGCACGGCAGAAGGGGTTGGTGCCAGGCGCCCTCGGATCGCGGTGCCGCCTTCCAGCCTAGCACTGCAGCAGGCCTACACTTCCGCAGTCACTTACAGAAACCCATCCCACCTCACACGCCTAAACCTCAAACTCCACCAGGCATAATGTGCCACGGAATACCATGCTTTCGCCAGCTGTGAGCCAAAGTAAAGTCAAAGTCTTGCTGTTGTGAGCCCAGGACCAACACTGAGAGTTTGAAACTGGGGTGAGGCAGAGGTCAAGAGTTGGGAAAGTCAGGACGTCGGGTTGGATGAGGGTTTGTTGGCGCAAGTAAGGAGGGGGTTCTGGCTGCCTTGTTCTGAGCTGTGGCCCTTTATACGGTCCTTAGAAAAAATCCTTGCGATGCTTAGCGGGGCAGAAATTCATCATGCCTGGGAGGTCTTGGATGGTCTCCAAGCACAGCTGCAGCAATTACAGCAGGTGCAGCAGCAACAGCTGTTAAGTCAGCAGTTGCAGCAGTGTCGCCGACACGTCTTACAGAGCTGGTCAGCCTCCCTCAGCAAGACAATGCATATTTCCGCAAACGAAGGGACAGAGGGCTGCACTTTTCTAGCATTCTCCAGTCTCAATAAAGAATCCCTGCCTCCAACACTTTTCTGGGCTGTCAACTTGTTAGAAATCAATTGTAGTCTTATCTTTCTTGCACCCCCTCCCCTTCTAACTTCACTTCCACATTATGCTGACAACCTCAGCTTGAGGTGCAAGGCGAGACAGGAAACTCCGATCCGGCTCAACGAAACTGATCGAGACAATCCACGGTGCAAGTCAGAAGTCATTTAACAGCCTGACTAATTCTGGTTTAGAGTTTAGGGCTTAGCCCCTCCACCATTTGATTCGGCTGGCGTCACTGACTGTGACTCCGGCTCCACATTTTCCATGACAGGTTTCCCAACCTGCTTTCCCAACTTACCTCCGACTCTGTAGCATTTTGGATGTTTGGGATGCTGCGCCGTATGCCAGGCAACTGCATCAGCTGCAGGTTCAGATGCAGATTCACGGCTGTGTTTGGCACAGTCAATTTGAGTGGTTTATTTTCAGGAATTGAACAGGCAGGAGCAGCCAGGTGCCAGCACTGGTGACAGTTGGGGTTCAGGTATCACTGCTAGAACTCTCTTTTTGCAGCTGCAGGTGCGATCAGAGTTTGGGCAGCAGTTGCCGCAATTTGATAGCGCGGTTACGTCGCAATTTTACGCGCCGAGATTTAGGAGGAACCTGCCTGCCTGATGTCAGTACTCCTCGTAGTTTGCAAGCTTTGAAGTTCTCTGGAGTTGTAGTGCAATATGCAGACAAGGCTGAGAGCTCCACAGCCGTGTGCAAACAAAGTCTAGCAAGCCCCAAGACCTGAATTAATTGAGACACACTTGTCAATTGTTTCTCAAAGCCCACCATTTTCAGGAATCAGCAGCAGCTTCAAGTGAACACCGTGGTTGCAGCCAGGAGCTCAGATGCGGAAAAGGGCGATCTTCAATGCTGCGAAGGATGATGGCCTAGACTTATGACAAGCGAGAGCTTTTCGGGAACTTCGCAACAAGAGAAGGGGGCATCCTCACTCTCCCTCAACCCCCGAATCTCAAAACGCCAAGCCTTGAAAAGCGTCTTGCAATCGGCACTCTAATCCTGCATGGCCCCAGGCTCTTGATACCCCAGAAACTGGAACCATTGAAGGGTATGGAAGGCATCAAGTCGTAGACATCTCAGGCAAGCAGTCCGGCGGACCAATCTGCTGGGCTGGCAGCCAGGCGGGGTGAGGAATTTTGGCAGGTCAGGATGCAAGGCTGTTACAAAAGCTTTGCCCATTTCTGCACCTAGCAACAGAACGATTGTGCCTCGACGGCTGTGTTTCCATTGGGGCAAGATTTCTTATCACAGTGCGGGGTCCATAGCCAAGGTTAGTGGACGAATTTGTTATATCATGCGTGCATGTGAGGACTAACATGTACCGACGGAAGTGTCTCGCCTCATGGGCTGCTTGATTTTTGTGCCATTTGCCTTCTCGTCGCCTTGTAACTGACGTCGACTGACCAGCGTGGTGATGGCGGCGGTGCAGGGGTTCTCAGCATTTTCTAGCACGCCGACGCAAGTGCAACATCGCCGGAGTACAAAGATGGAGCCGGCTGCGGCATCATCGACGCCTGCCTGGATGCAGCTCCCATCGGCTGAGACAGCCGACCTTGACGCCATCATGGAGCGACGCCACCACAGTTGCCGGACATGAGTTCATCTCCTTCCATGCGGCATCAAGCGGCATTCGCCGGAGACCATGGCGGCGACGTCGGCGGTGCAGATGATGGCGGCTGGCGGCCACAGCTGGTGCTGGCGCTGGTGCTGGGGCAAGGTCTTCAACGCCCATGGCCTCCTCTGCGGCGCCTACTACCAGCGCGCCGGAGATCACCACAGAGGAGCCGCCCACTACCATGTCGTCCTCATGTCCTCCCCGCTGACCACTTGCAGCATCGACAAGGCGAAGACCGCAGCAGCAAGCCGGTGCAACAACATCGACGCCGTGGCGGGCGAAGCCAACAGCAAACGGCAGCTGCCCACACCGGCGAAGGTCCTGCCGCCACTCCTGAACGAGACGACCCCGCTTTCCTTCCACTACGCGGATGCCAACCTCACGGCGGCCTTGTCGAAGGCACCGGGTGTTGGCATTGGCGTTCTCCTAGTAGGACCAGATCGGCCAACCCTGAAACAGACGGCAGGGGAAAAGGCCGAGGCCGGTTCCTGCCACTACCTGGTGGGGCCCCAACCGCACGGCTCCGAAGACGGCCCGCCATCTTCCTCTACAGCATCATCGTCGTCGCGCCCCCTACGACGAGGCCATCGCCTGCACTGCAGGAGGCGGCGGACGACGATGACTCAGCAAAGGGGTTCGACATAGAGGCCCGAGATGGCCTTGGCGGGCTTCGACGCAGCCACCCGCTTGCCACAGTCGGATTGCGCTACAATTTCCTGGCGCTCCAGGCAATCTCCCCGACGGATCCGGCAGCCATGAACGGCGTCCCCGTCGTCCCCTCTGCCGGCATTCTCCTCCCCACCATTGAGGGTGTTTAGGCCGCCCAATGTCTGACTCTAATTGTAACGCTAGCTAGCAAAACCTGGGCTGAGGGCTGGGGGGAGGTTGTTCCAGACACCCCGCCAACAACTTATCATGCCTCACACATTGCAGATAGGTCCAAGCGACCTACTGCTTGCGTATCAGGCCTTGAGAGAACCTTGGCCTGTTTCTTCCTGTCCGACTTCCCCAAAAGCAGCCTATAGCATAGCATGGACCGCAGTCGCTAATGCTGTCTTGTCGGCCTGGTCAGTCAGCAAGGCATATATCAGCCTTTCCTGATGACGTGTAACGGAGCGAGACACACTGCAACCTGCTCCGAAACCCTCAGAATTGCAGGGACTATGCCAGCTCTGTATCCTTTGAGGTAGAGATATGTAGAGATCTCCTCAGTGCTGGTGGTGAAGAACAGACATCAAACATACTCGAGGCGAATTAGTTTGGGCGCCAGTGCGGGTAAGCCCCTCAACGGTAGCCTGCCTTTGATTTGCATATCATCGGCTACATGAGACATCACCGGTCGGCGACTCCGTTGCCTTTTTCGTCGAGGGTGGCGCAGTCGTCAAGGGCTGGCCGTGTACCCAATCACGCCGCTGTCGCAAAGCTCAGCGACGTCAGAACGTTTGGGGATATGTTTTACGCATCGGCGACCACGTTTCTATGACTTTGGCCGGGCCACCGCCTGGCTCCTCGACATCTTCGCCAAACGCAACGTGAGCCGTCTTCATGATCCTGGCCCAGGTGCTGGCCATTTCAACCTTCGCCGGACATCTGCCAAGATTGTGGGCGGCATACAGTGTTAACAAGGCAGCGCAGTGCGCCCTCACCAAAGGCTACGCCAACCACACCGCTGTGATGGTCAGCGCAGCTTGCAGCATGGCGGCAGCCAGTGCAAGGTCGCCACACTTCGACCGACATTCCTCGGCGGATAACATCGCCGATGCCCTGTCCGGAGGAGACCATGCAAGCCCGATGCGGACGTCCTCGACGCGTTGTCCTACACCACGCAATCCGTCGAATTCGCCAACGTCTGGGCACTGGATGAGCTGCTCGACACAGCCTTGTGAGCGCCGTCGCATTTCGGGGGTGTGGGGGTGCCGGACGGGTGCAGTATGCACTCCCGCTCCGGCATTTGGTCGGCGATAGATCCGCAGCGAGGCGACGCGTCAGACCGCACCGAAAAGGAAGGGTGCGTCTTGCATAACGTCACCATGCCACGTCGCGGCGTATTTCTCCAGAGCATGTTCTGCTGACTTTCCTTTCGGGTGTCCGTGTATGTGCCGTTGGCACACAAGTAATGTGCTCTTCCCACATTATGTACTTCCTCGTCTTGAGCATCAGGTCGGGTCTAGGCCTACCACGCCTTACCTTGCAAAGCAAACTTGTCAAAGAGGTTGATGTTCGACCATCTGAATTGAACATGCGCCTGAAATTTAATCAAGTCAGCAGACGTTCCGACCAGTGCCCGTGCTTGTGGGTAGACACGCCGATCGAGAGTTCAAGGTCTCAGCAGGTTGCCGATGTCAGCAACCATTTCCAACATCACCGGTCCCACTGCAGAGAGTGTTTGTGAGATCTTGTGCTACATCTGTTCCCTGAGTGTTCCTTTGTGAAGACCATTTCATTTGGCGAGCCGCATGATTGGTTGTGCTGCAAATGTGCGGGTACGTAGGCACTTCATGGGATGGAATCAAGGAATCCAGGCGTTGGGCAATCAAGCAGGTTGGTTGTAAGTGCAAGCCTGGTGGATTAGACATTGAAGTCGTTGAAGCCCATTACCTTTTACTCGATGATGTTCCAGTGGTGGAGAAGACTACGTGACCTCGATTTTTGAAAGACCACGTTATGGGGAGGGGCGGTGTGTTTGGCTAGACCAGGGCATGTCCTCCTTGACTTGCCCAAACGTGTATTCCAGCACTCTGCACAGGAAGTTTCATCTTGACACCACCAATGCCAATTCACGATTTATGTGGCAGGTACACTACTAACAACCTGTCAGCGCCGACGCCGATGCCACCATCACACATTGATGGCTACGTTCACATGCTGTTCGGCATCTGCAGTACACATCTTTCTTTGCACAAGTCCTAGCCGTATTGTTGTCTGGAAAGATTTCTCATGTTGCTGTTGGTAAGCATCAATTTTCAGTTTGTGTTGCTGGTTCAGGGAGCGCTGAAGATAATAATGGAAACTCGTATGCTCCGAAGTCATCTGCCGCAAGAAGAAGAGCTGGCCAATGCACACCTGAGGCTACTCCAACGCGAATTTTTGCAGTGAGCTATGCTTTGCTATCAGGCGGGCTTCAACTGTTGGGTTCGTTTTTATTCATGAACCCCTGTCAGCTTTCTTAGCTCTGCAGACACGCTGAACCCATCTGAACCAACCGTCGAATCTCCCTCCAGTGGTCCGGCATGCTCCAGCTGTTCTTCCGAAGGCAGACATCGTTTCGCTCATCGCGGTTGGAGGACCACGGCCCAAGACGGAGGCACTGGATTGCAAGTTCTTGGAACTATGGTGGACATGTCAAAATGGCTAGCATGCAAATAAATGCACCTGACCTGTACATGTCCCGCCGGAACGAAGGTCAGCGCCGTTGTTTGGGTCCTCCTGAGTCTTGTGAAGCCCTGCCGCGCTGCAGCTTTGGGGTTGTTGTAATCTTTGACAGCCTCCAAAAAGCCACAAGATCCAGGTTGCCGCATCAAGGATAGGACCACAAGACGTAGCAGCCGGCAAAGGGCCTTCTAAATTCTGAGGCAGCCGCTTGCGCTAGAATCAAGCCCCCAGCAATTCAGCAAAACGCAAGCGCCTAGCTCTTTCTGTGTACCTCACGCCTTTTCTTCTGTAAGAGTAAGACACTATTGAAGCCAACAAATTTGTTTACCTGGTTTCCCAGATGCCCCAATTATCTTCGCCGAACATTCTTGAGCAGGCTTTGCTTTCGATTCAATGCTTATTTTGGGGTGGCAAGAATCTGGTGTTTCCTGGCTCTGTTACGGGCCCTGTCTAGTGGTCTTTATGTGCAACCCTCACGTAACAGAGGATTGATAGAGAACTTGTTAAAGTAGGATAGGTATTGCAAAAGGTTTGATCGCCCACTTTGACAAAACAGCGGGCAGCGGACCTTCCCCAAACCAGCTCTGCTTTCCCCGCAGGCTTGTGATTCTTGGGGGAAAGCAGGCAACAGCTATCCGCCGGTTCGGTTACCTTGCCGGTATCACGAAGACGAACATGAAACCAGCACTTTTAGTGTCCTTTCCAGGCTTGCTGACTGCAGCTGACTGGAAAAGCAAAGGGGAATCATTGTTCTGCAGCTCACATACTTTCAGCTACCTTTTGCGAATCAAGCTAGATCGCAGCATCACCTGAATAAGGCTGTCCCAAAAATATCGCAGTCTATACTTCAATGACTAATGTGACGAGCATTCATCATGCTGCATGCAAAGCCTGGTGGGGAGGAAGTGCTGAGGATTTTTTTCTGCATCGCTGTGTGTGCCTCTCCTGTGCCCGAGTCTAGGTGTATGTGCCACCAGGTCCCATGATGTGCGCCTTTGGAGCTGGGAGCTTTTGCGTAGACTTGGGCTGCAGGACATGGCACCGCGGTGTTTGCACTTAAGTCAACCTGAAAAGGCTTCTGTAAGTCGGGGTATCATTACTACTACTGTTGATATCATTACATTTTCTCAACCTTGCAGGCTGCTTCGTGGCTAAACCCCCGTAATCAATGAGATTTCAGGGTGCTGTAGGTGCTGTAGCACAATCTATTCCTTGCAATCAAAGCAGTGTGTCCGGTAAGCTACTGCGAGCACCAGATGGTTTACAAAAGGCTGGTCTAGATTACAGGAAGCCTTTTCACATATGATGTGGCCCAAGTCCTCCAAGAGGGAGGGGATGGTCTCAACAATGCGGGCATGCAGCAGAAAGCCGGCCAAATGGCCGGAGTAGTTTTCCAGATGAGACAATGAATGGGTTTAGCTACATAGAATTTCATACTTACTGGCGGGCAGTACCAGTCGGCCTGCAATCCTGAAGTCAGAAAAGACGGGAACATGAAAATTTTGTGACGGAGAGCTTGTTTTTGGATGCTCATCTCTCTGCAAGCAGCATGCCCGCATCTTTCACGGCCAGAATGTAGTATCAGATTACAGTGGCCTAGTGCGTGCTGGTGGGCGTTTTGGCGCTTGATGCATGAGAGCAGCTACGGAAATGTTAGCCACTTCGAAGAGTCCTGACCCCCACAGCACCGGTGGATGGTTGTGGCCCTTTCGCCAGCTTTGCTGTCGCTATTCTCTAGCTTCGTCAAGAGCCCTCTCTACCGTTGGCAAAGGAAATTTTTCATGACATCTGACCTTGTTCTTTGGGTGTTCGAGGTGGGCGGAGACAAGTTTATCAATCTGATGGCTGGGGCATGAAGCATTTACGTTCGGAATTGAGATGACACAAAGAAATCATCGCTGCAGATGTTCTGTCCCTGCTCATACCTCTGCTCACCCAAGTGACAAAAGCCTTTCGTGTCTCAATGGCGCATCTGCTCCATCAGAGAGCATGGCTGGAGTTCAGCTTCAGCCTGTCCAGTGCCAAAGCCATCATTCGTCCATCTGATGTCGGAAGAGAGTGCAGTTGGGGGGGAGCAAGCCGCATGCCCCAACAGGGCTTGGCCTAGAGATGTGCTAGCAATATCCGCAAAAGCAAGTCGGGCTGAATGGCGGCTTGCGCGTTTGAGGCGTCTGAAATCTGTGTTTGAGGCCTAGGGAGTCGCGGAGCTGAACAGTGCTACCAGCGAAGAGCTGATGTACACCGCGTAACTGCCAGAATTGCAATGATTTTTTACAGCCGGTTCATGCAGAGTGAGTTTGGGGCTGGGATGCAGTCGTGGCTCCACCGGACTAGCAGTCAATCTTAGACTCAGACTGCTGCATAGTTTCTACAGCAGACTGCAAATGCTTGTGAAATAGCTACCCCAACTCTTGTGCCATACTTCGAAGGCCCCAATGCATACAGTAGGTGGAAGACGTCCTGCCCCTGCTCCAAAGCAACTGCCTCGCTTGAAATAGCATGGGCCACTTTGACTTTTTGCAGTTTGACTTTTTGCAATTTCGGGACAGCAGACATCATTCAAAAGGTGATTCCGGTGCGCTGGCATTGGTCAAGTGCAGCACTAACAGGCATGCAGCTCGTTATTGATTATTGCTGTGATTTCTCTATATCAGCAGCGTATCTGGTGTCTTATGAAGTTGCGGATAGTGAGCATGTCAAGCATGGATGTTCTAAAACGAGATCTCTGAAGTGCAAGAAAAGCGTTTTCATCTCTAGCACTTCTCCGTCTGCAGCACGCTTTACATTCTGTATTGCTTTAGCAGGTTTGGCAAGTTTGCTCACCAACTGGGCGACGATTTGACCAATCCGGTGGCGCCGAGAAGTAAGTTCCTGTGGATAAGAGGGATCAAGATCTGGGACATGTGACGTACTCCAGACTAAACTTCGGGCAAGCATCCTTGCAAGACGTGAATTTGAGGGGCTTTCAAGGCTGCGAGGCAGTCCCAGGACTTGAGGCCGTGTGCCCCAGCTACGCTGCAATAGACCTGGCGCTCGGGCCGTGAACAACGGACCACAAGGCTTAGCAGTTGCAGCGTTCTGGCCCTCGCGATAAATAAAGTTTTTAGTAACACGTTGCTGCCAACAGCATGCAGCTAGACAAAGGTTGCCTGAGGAACACGCTTCAGCATGAATAGGCACACGTAATGACTGCTGGGTGCGGGAAGATTAGAGTATGGACATGCTGAGTATTGTGAAGAAGTGGCGTGGGATGTTTGACAACCATCAAGCATCGGAACCTCGCAGCGACTTGAGTTGCTACCAAACATACCAGCGTTCCAGTACATTCGAGAAAAGGGAAGCATCCTCGACGTTCCCACGTTCAAGACATTTTGGCTTGCAGAAGCGCATATGTCCGAAGTTGCATCAAAACCCAAGCCAGTGATGCCCTGGGAAGTATCGTTGGAGCCTTTGCGTGTTCAGCATGGCAGGTTTGAGCTAAAAGGAAGGTAGCAAAGTAATGCGGTGACGCTCTGGACATGCCAGCAACAATACATACCTTGGTTTCATTCCATCATGCAGTGCCACACAACATCTCATGAGTCAAGTCACGCGATCAGGCTGCGAAGAATCAACAGCTTGCGTAATGAAGATGCAGGGGACACCTGCTGGGGCCTCCAAGCCACAGCAGCGCCGGAAGCAGCAGCACTCAGTGGAGTTTGCATACCCAATGATCCTGCTTATTTGTTCCATGTGTTCCGCCTTGGCTATTAACATCTCCTGCGAAGTAGCTTGCTACTGTGATCCAGGTTGTCTTTCCTCAGCAAAATCTGAGTCAGGTTACCGCCTGCAAGCTGGGCTTTGAGAACACTTATCCGAAAGAGCTGCATGCACAATTTGACACAATTGAGATCGTTAAGTTCTGAAAGAACATGAAACTCGGCTGGCCAGGACGTGGCCTCATCTGCCACCGCCAGGAAACGGTGCCGCCATCCTCAGAGCTTAGAAAGAAGACTTCAGGTTTAAGAAGGCGCTATGAGCGGTGCCCTTAGTTGCTTAAGGATTTTGTTCTGGGGCCCCGGTTAGCTTCATGTGGTTTCCTGCGCGAAGTCTGCTGTACCAAAGTCCAAGGTGTCAAGCGAGGCACCTAGATTTCATTCTGGCACCTCTTTTCCATCTGTCACTGCGCATGTAAGTAGAGTTCCATGAGATATGTGCCAGCATAATGTAATCCAGCACCATATTGGCATTTTCCCTGTCTGACATTGCTCTTGACTATGCAGTGTGCATGGTTGACGAAGTGTTTCATGCAACTGAGATACAGCAACCAGCAACATCCCGCCTGCCCCCACTCAGCCTTTCACTGCGCGCTTCGCATGCATTGGCTCTCTTGGGGTAGTTGGTCGGAGTTTGGGCCGCTTCCCGGCCAGAGTGCGGAGGCTTGGCCGACCCCTCTGTATTGAGTGGAGACTTTCAGCGCACTTATGAGACCAGAAGCGTTGCGGCGTTGTTATGCAGGGTGTTCAGCGAAGCACTTCTGCAGGCTGTCTCATGTACGCTACGCCGACGCAGTCGGGGGGCCCGAAGGTTTGTTGCCTTGCAAAGCTTCAGGGGTCTTACTGGTAGGGTCTTTCCTTTCCATCGTCCAGCAGAGTCTGAGACGGTTGAGATCCCTCGCTCCTGTGCTCCCGATGCCCCCGAGAGGGATCATCCCGAGGCTGAGCACGGCTAGCAGCTCTCCACAACAGTGCCGCCCCCGTGTGAGATCCACTCGGAGTCACAATCCTCCGCAATTTGCACCCGGTGAGCTCTGGTGCAAGTTGAAGCAGACTTGAATCGTGCCGTAGGGATGCTTGAGGTGGGTTTAAAACCAAAGGGCCAAAGGCTCCCGGCTCGTCCCTGCACTGGCGAGGCGGCTGGGTGACCCCCAGAGCATGGCGGCTTACTCGCCGCGGAAGAGGCTCAGCTGCTGACCTCTGCTTTGTTCTTGGCCGTTGTTGCACGCCCTTGTTGCGTGGGCTTGTTTGAGGCATCCCCGGCAGCAGTTAGAGCACCGATGAGGGGTGCACTGTCAACATGTCTAGTGAGTCTAGTTTAATCTCTCTCTCTCTCTCTCGCTTCGAAATGTTTGGCGGCAGTGGCACGCAGGTTTGGAGCAACGGCTGGGGCCCAAGTTGTCAGCTTTTAGTTTCGGAGTCCATACTCTTGGGCTCGCCCAAGTCTTGGCCAACTTCCTAGCGCACTTTGAGGCAACAAGCTTTGCCCCCGTCTAAACCTCCCCAACCCAAATTCGCCATGAGGGTTGAAGCTACAAGTGAGAGTTGATAGCATGGATTTCCCATACCACACCTTTGCAGTGATGATACTGTTTCGGCCTGGCACATGTTTCGTCCTCCACTCACATTTGCACAACAAGACGTGCAGGGTAAATCCATCTCTTCAGCACTGTCTCCTTGCATTTCTTGCGCCGAATGTCTCTTGTTGCCGTCCTTTGTGTGGTAGGTCCCCTTGGGAAGCCCGTGTCTGCGTTGGGCATGAAAGAAGTGCACCCAAGGAGAAGCGAGAGCCTGTGGAGGCCCTGCTGGCTGTGCTAGATACATCCTGCCGGTAGAACATGTCATCAAGAATCCGGCAGGTTGTGTTTGTTGTAATGTACGTGGGTTGGACAAAATGTGTGGGATCGTGAGAGAGAGTGTGAGAGAGTGAGCTTGCGTGCAGCTATGAATCTGCATGAGGTGTCATTTGGAGTGGGAACGCGTCCGCAGCGGCCTTGTCTTGTTTGCCTTAGCCCGGTGTGATTTGTGCTTGGGGAGGCCAGAAAGAGCATGCTAGGAGATGTCTTGACTGCTGGATACATGAGCACCTCACAACTCGAAACCATTCTTCGTGAAGTCTTGCACGGCCCAAGAGCGAGCTGCCTTTCCTAACCGCTGCGTGCACGCTGTACCTGGACATCGGCCATGTCAATCTCGGCAGAAGTGCAGGTGGGTACCTCCATGCCTTACTGGTGAAACAATATGCTTCTGTGGGTGGCAAACTGGTTAAACATAGTGTCTCCCTGCCACCAGATTTGGGACTTGGTACTTGAAATACCTGTCTCCTGTTGAGCCCTAGAAGTATGTCTCGTAGCTGGTGAGGGCATTCTCGCCGTCTTTGCCTGTGGATTGTTCTTCACGCTGAACCTGATGCTGTGCAAGTTGCTCCAGGCTGGTTGTAGTCAAGCGCCTGAGCGGTTGGCCAGACTTAGGCCCAGGCATAATGGGCAGCACAGCAGCAGCCTTGCACTGCTGTAAACGTAAAGCTGGGCATCACGCTTTTGCAGGCTCATAAGGCTCAATACAGACATCACATTGTATCCAAGAAACCGGGCGGCAGCTTCAGTTGCAGGGTGGTCAGGCCTCCTGCACGGCGTTTCCAAGATGTTGGGTGACCGAAAAACCTTCCGGTCCGGCTGTTCCAGAAGCCTGTCAGTTTCAGGCTGATTAGAGAAACCAGCAGTGTGCAAGCTTGGAATTGCCAGGGTTGGGACTGGCCTTACTTCTTCTTGGCTGGCCTCTGCTCGCTGCTGATTGTGTTGGGTCTCAACGCCTTGATGCTTGATGCAGTGGCAAGCTTGGTAGGAGATTGATGGGGTCAGCCCTGCATCACCATCGCCAAGGAATACAGTCTTGAACGCCTCAGGACTTTTAGGGCATGCGCAGCTCCCTTTCCGATGTTCCTCAAGCAGGGAGTTTAGCTCTGTGCTGGAGTGAACAGGGATCCCAAATTCTGACAAAATCCTACCTGAGATACCGTCAACGTTAAGGCATTGGCATGTCAGGGTCCAGATTGGGCCCTATAAAGCTAGGAATCTAGCTATGTATTCTCCATCTAATGCTTCTAGTTATGCAAGGCGCGTTGGCTGCAGCTCACCCCATCCAAGCCAGTGCATCAAGCCATATGTAGAAACCAAGGATGATAACGCAGCAGGGTATGGCTGCTTACGACTGCCAGCGGAAGGAGCTCAAGTGGGTCTTTCTGAGAGGCATGGGCTCAATGCAAAGAGCCCCAACGCGCCTATTGTTTTTGCCGTCCCTATCGTTTTTGTTTGGTTTGTGTTCGTGTCATTACTCTTGCTGATGCTGCCGTTGCAATGCTCAGCTGGAGCCCAAGTGAAGCCAAGGCTGGGGAAATTTTGCTGATAGGAAAAGAGTTTCAGATCTTACCAGCTGGTGAATTCGACTGAAACTTACTGGACAATACTGTCCGATCGTGGTTCATTCAAGTATTGTGGATGAAAGGTCCGTAGTTGACTCCTGGAGGTTTCTTTGGCTCCGGCAACAATGTCCTGGGCGTTTGTGCTGCGCTTTCGGGTGCCCCGATGGGCAGCATTGGTGCGCTGTCCAGCGCTTCTTGGATGCAAGGACTTCTGGTGCTGGTTTCCGCTGCCTAAGTGAGGGAAGTGGAGAGTTCACGTGGCCTTCTGATGGGAAGTTGGAATTCACGTGGCGTTCTGATATAAAGGCCCCGCAAGAAGGAAGCTCAGAAAATATTGATGAGGGTATGTTGTCGGGCTTGGATAAACGTCAAGAGATCGTTGTTTCATTTCTGATGGCTTGGCAGCTTGCCGTACATTTGGCCACGTGAGCTTCTGATGTTGATAAGTACTCTATCAAAGTAGGTGGCTACACAGCAGACATGCGCCTTCAGACAGCTCGGAGGTCAACACGGTGGTGGCCGCCCTTCTTGGGAGAGCTGTGCTTGGAGCGCCTACGTGCGCTGTGTCTCAACGTTTCCTGCTGGACCTGAAGTTGGAGAGAGGGAGATCTATTTGAAGCACCCTTAACCTTGGACGAAATTACAATGTTTGCTCCCCATGATTCTTGCCAATGCTCGTATTTCAATTTGGTAGCTCGGTTTGGGCGGTTGGTTCCTGCGGTTACGGCTTCTTTGCTCCACTGGTTCAAAGCAATGGCTCCCAAATCGAAACATGCTCCGATGACTGTGGAGTACTGGACAGGAGAGCCCCTGGGCAAGTTGCACGTCCTGGCCGTGCTGTAATTTGGCCAGCAAAGTCACGAAAGCGAGTCTTGTGAGGACTCAGCTGGGTTTTTGGTTCATTTCAGGTTGATTGATCAGGGGAGGGCCTCCCTTCCTCCCACTTGAAGGATCGATAAATCTCAGCGATTCTGTGCAGATGCTGGGCAGGTGACGTGTTGAAATTATATGTGTCTCTCTTCCAACAGCTGCTGCTACTGCTACGGTGCTGCTATTTCTGTTGGCCCCGTCTTCTGCTTCTTCACTACCCCTTTACCAGTGGTACTGTAGGGTAGAACGGTGGCTGCAGTTTGCTCGCTCTTTTGGATTTCGGGCCAGGCAACGAATTTGTTCAAAGCGACAGCTATGCTGTCGATCAGGTTCTCCGTGGCAGGTGCGGTGCTGATCTCGGACCCCGTGGCTACAGTCAGCTGCTTGCTCAGAAATTCAAGGTCATTGGCACGACAGTGGCACTGCTTGAGCACCTTGAGTCCAGAGATGGGTCTTGAATCTAGCGAGAACAATCGCAGGCTCTGCTTTCACCAGAGCGGGGCCCCTGCACCTTCATCGCCATGGTTCCAGATCCAAATTTTGAGACTTTAAGATGCCAGAATGACCTTGAGCTGATGAGGTGCAGGCGCTTCCAGTGGAGCTGCAGCCTACTTGGGTGTGGCTCCAAGTCTCCCTTCATCCTGCGAGGGTCAAGTGGTACAGGTAATCACAGGTACTGGACTTCGGATGGAGGATGTATCAGTGATGTTCCATTACATCATTACTACTATTTGCGTCTCTGAGGCTACGCTCTGGCCTTACTGGCAGGGATCTCGCTCGGCTTCTCAGCTGCTCCTAGCGAGAGACGCGCTGAATTCTTCCTGAGTGCAACTAGTTCACGTTCGTCTCAGCGACGCTGCTCTGTTCCCTGCGTCTGCACAAAGCACTCTACGCTGCAGGCTTCATGTTCATCAGCACGCGAAAATCTGCATCCGCGTCTTCCATGTTGCTCCTGGGGCTTGATCGGCAATGATGCGAAGTAGGAAGGCCATGGCGAATAGGTAATGGCAAGACGTCATGAGTAGGGCATCAGATGAAATGTGGCAACCAATTCCCATGCTTCAGCCCTCTCGCACACGCTATTGCGCTGTAGCTCAGTCGGCGGCCAGAAAAACGGAAAGCGGTGGCAAGCATCCCCTCTCATCTTGACAAAAGGAACCGAAATCCCAGATTCCGCAGAATGCGGTCTTTTCGATCTTGAAGCGGAGCCCCCCTTAACGCTATCAGCGCGCTCAGCGCGCTCAGCCGCATCTAGGCTTACCACTTCAGCAATGGTGCAGCGCTGGGTGATTTGCTGGATTCTGGCTTTCGTCCCGAGCGCAACGTAGCTGATTAAGGAAATGATAAACGTATGAGTGTCAATTTTTGAAGATGGTTTGTTGGGACTGAAGGTTGCTGGATTGCACACGCTGCGTGCAGCTCAGGTCAGGGATGGCCACTTCCAGATGCTGGCTGACTCCCCTGCTCTCGCCCTGCTGATCTTTATCAGCCTGCTCTTTGCATCTCGCCTGGTGTTTGGGAAGCAGCGTGGCATTCTTTGGTGCTTTGCTAGCATGCAGTGTACGGAGGCTGCGGAAATTGCAAAGGGATTAGGTGTCATTGACTGTCTTTTTCTCTCTTCCGGTTTACGCAATCAGCTGAGGTCTTGCTTGTATGCAATCTACTGTTGCTTGGCCTTGTCCAGCTGCCTTTGCTGTGTTTGACTGCCAAGCTGAATCCATTCAAAGGAGCATGTCACAAGCTACCGTCAGCCGAGACAGGTCGAGCGCTGGGTCCAAACTCTGTCCGGCCGCCATCAGCGCAACCGTGATGACGGCGACCAACATGAGCCGCTGCAACAGCTTGCATGGTTTCTTTTCCATTTCTGCAACCTTCTGATAGGGCAAACAAAAACGACAACCTTCCGCACACTGCTACTCTAAGATGTTCAGCCTGCAGCGAAGGAGCACCGGCTACCTGGTGGACGTTCTTCTGTTCCACAAGCCCCTTTCACCATGTCATTGTTTGGTGTAGCAGTGTCACATGTTTGCATGCTATACATCTCTCAGAGGCCAACACCTGAGTGTGTAATTCTGAAAGCCCGATGCAGCCTTGGCACTTAGCTAAGGATCCCAAACTTGTGGACCATCTGTGGAGCCCTGAGACTTCCTCTGCAAGATCAGGAGAATTGAGAGTGACTGTTCACGTTCTGTTGCAGGGGTTCAGCGCTGCTGTTCTTTTCAACTGGTCTGCCTGCATGTCAATTGTTTCAAGCCAGCACCGAGGATGATGCTTCTGGCTGTGGTGACAGTGGCTCTTGCAAGGCTGGAGTTCAGGATGATTAATGCAGCTTGTCCGCTTTTCTGCAGTCAGGTTGCCGCCGCGCAGCGTGCAAACGGCGCAAATGCCTGCCGATCAGACAACCAGACACTTGTGAGGTTTCACTCGATCCGGTGGATGTTCTCATGTTTTAGTGAAGGTCATGTACTTTGCAGGCAAAGTGCTCGGTCAAACATTTTGCTTCAGCCACCACTAGTCATTGCTGCGTACTAGAATCAGGAATCAGGCATGAGGCAATAGTGAGCCGTGAATGGCGACGACGCTAGCACCCCACGAGCACAATCGGACTGCTTTTGTTTAGCGCAATCGAATGTTGCGCTCATGATCCTTGTGCAGGCAAGCAAGAACAGTGCAGGATCAACGACCGTGGGCCTGCTTGCCAGAGGGTTTTCCCATCAAACCTTGCGCTTCTCAAAGTTGTATGTCAGGCATTAGCTAGAAGCAGCAATTGACAGCGCAGACGCCAAAAGGGTAGCAGGCAAACACTGTACAATTCAAACCTGCAAATGCAGCCCAGGATCAACGCATTCCAGGGCCTCCCAACAGAGCCTGGTGAGCTTCATTGCATCCGAGTTTGCAGAACGACAGGCCTTGAACGATCTTCAAAGATGTCTAGGTGCTTGCAGCAGTATGACGCGCATAGAGTTGGCAAAAATTTGGGTACTCATCATATGATAGAAACGCTTCTGACGGCAATCTTAAATTGGATGCTACTGCTGCTGCTGCTGCTGCTGCTGCTGCTCCTGCTACTGCTTGGACAACACCTTCCCCAGTACTGCTTGTTGGCGGACACAGCATTCCTTCTGCTTAGGCCAAAGCAGACACGCGTTATTACATCATCTCTGCTCCATTCAAGCATCTATTAATGTTGCATGTGGATATGTTGACACATTCTGCCACGCTTGATGACAATCGGGGCAGGTCTCCACTCTCAGTGGCCAGGCTGGGCCATGCTCCGCTTCACATGTTCTCACATGGGGATGTACTGATTTGACTGTTTTGACGGTGGCTCGTTCCAGTTCCGCAGGAAGAGCGCTAGATTTCTTGGTGTGCTGAAGGCCATTCGACAGCGAGCAGTCCCACCTGCTAGCGTTCCAGCAGCGATGCAGCTGGGTGCTGTGTCTGCATGACATGCTGTCCTCTGCCGCAAGGCAGTGCTCTTTTGACGGACATATGCTGGCAAGCCTGCGACAACAAAGCTCGCGCATGGCTGGATGGTCAAGGTTTCGTGAGCATCAGCAGCCTGTACAGAGCCCATGCCATCCAGACCGCAACAAAGTTTGAGTTATTGGCCACGTAGGCCTCTGCAACATTGCCGCCCGGTAAAGTCAGCGGCAGTCGTCTGTACAGGCTTAGCAAGGAGCAGCGCTGATCAGGACCTTGCAGGATAAGGGTTGGCAAGGCAACTTGAGTTCAACTCATGCTTTCAGAACGTGTCGTTTCTGTGTGCAGCAAGCTGCAAAGATTGGAAATTTCCCAAGCTCAGACAGAGCTCCCCACCAAATATCGACGTTCGTCTGAGGAACAACGGTGCCACACTTGCGCGCGCCTGAGATAAGGTCTACAGTGTAGTCCCAGCAGACGTATGCTTGACACTCATGACTGTGAAGTGGCTTTCCGGGCTGTGTATGGATCCTTGCCGGCTTCAGCTTGCATGGTCAATCTGAGCGTTGCGACTGCTCCGTACACGTCGAGTGTCCGTGGAGTGACCTTGCGAGAAAGCACATCCCCTTATAACTCTTGAGTCTTGGCAGCTGCTACCGACGTTAGACATTGTAGGTCTGCGTTCCCCCCTTGACGGGACATCCCCTGCCCACAAGGGGCTGCCGGAGAAGTGCAGACACTGTGGCAACGTGCATGGCGCTCGGTGCGGGGTTTTGCATCCACTGCATTCTGAAGGTATCACAAGAAGATCTATAACCCCTCGTCTTGGTCTGCCGGCATCTGCTTGTAGATATTTGCTGAACTGTGAGTATCAAAGTGCCCGGAATGGAACAGTGCGATGGAGTCGCTCAAAGTCACTACCCCCAGTCATGCGGACATGAAAGTCATGATGATCTGATTTGGGTTTCTGCGCCCTTTGTGCTCTGCATACAAGTTCGCACATTGGCCTGTGTGCTGAATTCGTGTTTTTTTTTTGTGTGTCGAAACCTGCGATGTCTTCTAAAAAGTTCTTTGAGGTACAAGTTGTACAAAACTGTTCCTCTTGCATATGACTACCACAAAGAAGTGCTCCTTTGGTGAAGGTTCCTCGAGGATGCCGTCTACTGCCGAAACTGCGGCAGGAAGCGGGAGGCTGGATGGGCAGTAGGTCTGTGGCGGATGTACACTGGCCAGCAGGAGGGGGCTGCGTGGAGTCCTGGTGCCATGACAATCCGCATCCAAGGTGGAGCCATCGGCCTACCGCCGGACACTCAACGTGGCCTGGGGCCTGGCCGAGAGCAAACTAACTTTAGGAAACCAAAACGGGCATGGAAGCTTTCCAACGTTCTGACGCCCAAGGGTCATAGATGCTCGTGGCTTGGAAGGTAAACGTCCATAACAGCTAGCAACGATGTTCATTGTGCATCATGGTACTGGTCGCGAAATCACATGAGAGTTCCCTCAAAGTGTTTTAATCGAACAGTCCACCAGCAGGCAAGGAATTCGAGCAAGTATGTTTTGTTGTGAACTTCCCTGCTGCACAGGGCCCGAAGTCGGAGGCCTCGGAAGCGTCTGTGAGCCCTCAACGGTATTGGCAAGGCGGGGAGCTTTAAGCCTGCTGACCAGAGAATGGGTACAGTAACCGTCAGACTGTTCTGGTGGGCTTCAAAGGTGTACAAAGGTGTGGGTTCGCCAGGTCTTTGTCTGAGTGGTCGGTGGTGTAGCCTCAAATGGCTGCTGCATGCTGCTGCTATACCTCGAAGACTAGTCAGTTCAGTTGCCTGACAGACAAACACATACAGCCAATGGCAGCTACTGGCACTCTCGCCTTTTGAACCTCTCAGCTGACAGCGGCTTTCACTCTTTTTCACCAAGCTCTTGCTCAGTTGAGCCGCTCACGACCTCGGGCTCAGCAAGGGAGCGGCCCTGGCGCCAGGCTCAGGCATCCTGGGGCCAACTGTTTGGTGGTTGCTATGCTACTGCGGGTCCTGGTTCCTACTCCAGCTGGCACCGAAAGCGTCGAACCGCTTCTCAAGATCCAGTCCTGGTGTGTCACAGGAGCCAGTGAACCAGCCCAGGGTAGTGAAGGACTGACATTCCGCTGCACATGCTTGGGCGTATAGGAGCTTCCCTACGGAGCTGCAGTGGAAATAATCTACAGTTTACAACAGGGCAGACGGATACTTATCTTTACTTGCGAAAGTTTTCAGATGCGGTTCAAACAATTGCTGACGTGGTGACCCTTTTAAATGAGACATTGCGTTTGCGAGCACACTACTTCCAGAGGATTCCAGAGGACTTTGGCCCAATTTTGGCTAGATTTTCGCTGCAAAAGAATGGGTGGTGCTATACTGGTGAAAGATAAAGACAGGACTGCTCTGATCTTCAAGGATCCAGGTCGTCTTCTTCATTCTGACATGCTGGGGTTCTTATGCAGGTTGCTTGTGTCCGAATGGGACAGATGGAGCAACTGCTAATTACGGGTCGCTCCGTCTACTCATAACAAGGAAACCCTTCTATTTACTATATCTACCCATATCATGGTAACCTGAGCCCAGTCCTCGTCTCCAGGAAAAGCCAGCGACAGACAGCGTGGCGGCCACCAGCGGCTCGGCGCGCGACTCGCTGAGGTGCACAGGGTCGGCTTTGGCGCTTTTGTCGTTCACCATGTCACTATGGGCTAGGGCTGAGCAGGGTCAGGTGGAGAGTGTGATTTTTTGGTGTTTTTTCATTCAAGGTCGGTAGGTACACTTCCGTGCTATTGTTGATTAGTTTAATGGTATCTCTTTTTTTTAAGCCTTGCCGGCTCTGTTCCAGTCTTATGTCTGTTTTTCAAATGCGTCTCATTTCCAACCCCTCTTTTTGATCTTTTCTATCTTTCATGTCTGGCCGTGGCCTAATTCCTCCGGAATGGGAACTCTGAGTTCTTACCGTCAAAAACCTGATTCCTATCTGGGCATCGCCCGAAAACCCTATGTGGAAGTTTTTATATAAAACGACCACGGCTGGCTTAAAAGACCTTCCGCGAAAGGTCGCGATGGTGCTTGCGAAAAGAACTTAGGATTTCGCGAAAAAGGTATCGTAAGCTATATTTCCTTTACTTACTTTCAAAGACAGTTCTCTTCTTGAAGTCCGAAGGCATGCTTCCAGGCATGCTCAAAGGTGAAAGGGTTGCAGGTCTTGCTGAGACACAGGCTCAGTCTCAGAATTCTTACCTGAAAATCCAGATACAAGTTCCCTTATGGGGGAGTGTCGAATAGTATTATGAAAGGATTGTAAGTAATCCCCTCCCTTAATATATTAAAGCCACCCCACCCCTCCAATGTCAAATATTCCTTACATATCAAAGTATACCACAGCGGATATTTCACCTTAGGCGGTGGAATTATTGCGGATACCTCCCATAGCAGCTGAGGCTTCAGTCACTCCCGGCGCTTCGGCCTTTATTGAAGAGCAAGTTTAGAGATCGGGGCCTACGGTTTAGGGATTTGTTAGGTATTCTTGGCTTAAAGGATAGACTTCGTATCGAGCTGGACGGAAGCATGGGGTTCAGGATGTTGGGTTGCTGCGATGATTGCGGGCTAGCACTCGCTACGTAGTGGTTGAAGGATGCACGACATAGTGGGACCCACAAACCTCACAACGCCCCGACCCCTAAGGCCCTGGATTTCCTAACCCCCTGAGCTGCTAAGAAAGTAGATAGCTGAGCTTGTCCTCGAACAACTTGGATTTACCAGGATTTGGCCAGTGCTGCAGCGCCCCGCGCACGATCGAACTCCCACACCAGGTAAGAGGGCCTCAGGCTATTCAGGGTTTAGGTTTTAGGGTTTTGCCCTTAATCCCAAACCCTTGCAAACTCCCAAACCCTAAAATTTCGAAACTTGAGGACCCTGGGAACGACCGATTAGTAAAATTGCTGGTACTGTCACCAAAATAGTAGTACTTGATCAATTATGATTACTACTATTATCTTCTGCAAATTTGAATCCTTAACCTTTTGGACCCTGGACCTGCAATACGGCCAATTGATACATTTACCGTTACCGTCACTAAATTGCCAGTACTTAGTTACCAGAACTACTACTACTACTTAATGCGATCCGTATTTCTATCACTGTGAATACGACCCCTGTTTTAAGTATCGTTATTCACATAATGCAGTTATGATTGTTACTTGTTACTATTAAGGGAATGTTACGACAATCAGCTACCCAACGTGCTACTAAATTACTACAATCAGAATTCGGGTGTTGCTATCATTTGTATGCTGAGTATGGATATGGTTATTGCTACTTAAGCAATACTCCCTTCATACCGACATCAAGTACCCACCCACCGCCCACTCCCTAATGTCAAATTGTCTTTCATGAGAGACCTCATATATTGGAGGCCTTATTGAATATCAGCGGTGCCGGGGGTGGGAGGTGGGAGGTGGGTGTAATATTCAGTACCAGGGGGATACATGCTATGAATTGGGTGCTGCCCCCACTCAGTAATAGCTGGATAAGGATTCTGATATAGCGAACCCTATGACAGACTGTTAGTTGTGCGGGAGGGACGCAGCCTAAACCGTAAACCCTAAATCCTAAACCCTCGATCCTAAACCCTTAGCCCTACATCCTAAACCCTACGCCCTAAACCCTGAATCCTAAACCCTAAACCCTAAATCCTAAACCCTGTGACTATCACTACAATGAAGACAAAAGAAGGCATGCGACCGCGATTGTTTTTTAGACCTGGCGGCCGCGTTTGCAGCGTTAGCGCTGCAGGCTGGCCAGCGCCAGCAGGACTGGGTTTTGGTTTAGGGTTTAGGGTTTAAGGTCCACAAGGGTTTAGGGGGGAGAGTCTAGAGTTTAAGGTCTATCTGTAGGGTTTAGGGGGTGGGGTTTCGGGCTTAGGGTCTATCTATAGGGTTTAGGGGGTGGGGTTCAGGGTCTCTTGGGTTGAGGGAGTTCATCAGAGGGCTCAAAAAGAGAAGCAATGGAAG